TGGTTGCTTCATTAAACTGAATCGAGTTACTGGTTCTTGTTTGTTGATATACCCCTAGCATAACGGCTTTGACGTCTGAAGACTAACATGATGTTCTACAGTTGATGGGATTGATGGTTTCTAGGAGTCTGTTTATGAGATGAAAACTCATCAAGGAAGTGTCAGGTGGTATATGCTAGCTAAATAGGGTCAACAGCCTAGAATAGCCCAGATTCGGGTAATAGCAGTAACATATGCTAGAAGCATCATTTTATTCTTTGAATGCTAACTACTATACATAAAAGTAGAATTTTAACATAAAAAATGTATTATGATTTTATGGAATAGAATAAATGTGCGAAGAAGTCTGCACTACTGTTGACAAAGTTCTACTCGCTACTATTTAGTAGTATAAAGTTTGACGCAAAATAATGACAATGGAGTAGTCATTATTTGTTATTGTTTCCTTGAGTTCTAAGTGGAATATTTTGATTGGGAAGCATATCTCCACTTTTTTCTATTTAATGAGTTCCTCTTCAGCTATCCCCGAGATTTCTCATGATCTCTGGCCCCCTCCTCTCAAGATCTGCTCCATGTCGCCATCCAAACTACACCCAACTTATCGTTTCCCATTCGTGTTACACTGGTGGGACCGGCGCGCGACGTCATTCCATAGTCACCTCAACCTATGTACAGTCCACCTACATAGTGTTCCGATTATTTCATGAGGAATACCTTATTGATTAGTTTGTTCCAAGAGTGTCTCGTCAATATGGGGCCAGCGAAGTCATCTCTTGATAAAATTCCGCAGTTGGCTTGATGAAATGCTTTTAGTGACGCGAGTTCCAAGCCTCTAACCCATATGGAAGAACTGACGTACTTAACACTGGTGTTGGAAAGCCCAATCTTCTGCTTTATATAGGCTGAGTGACAGCAGGAGATTTCCGAACTAATTTCAGATTGGTGAAGGCGTATTTTGCCTTTCTGGTTCTCACTCTAACATCTTCATCCGTTCTCTCTGGGGTTGAATCAAAGCTTCCAATGTAATTGAAGGAAGTGACCCCTTTCAAATATCTCCCGTTTTCGATGATTCGTTCTGGTTGTTGTTGTCACTGTTACTGCTGTTGGTCGGTGATTTTCATCACCTCCGTCTTCTCAATGTTCACCTGAAGTCATATCCTTATTGCTTCTTCCACCAGGTTTTTGCTTTCCGACTATAATTCTCCGAACTTCAAACATCAATCACCTGTGAAGTCCATATTATATAGAATTTTCACGTTGGTACAACGTGTTCTCGTCTTCTCATTCCTAAGCACAATCTCTCACATAATCCAGTCTACCACAATTAGGAGTATCATCCGTGATAATAAGCAGCCTTGTTTTACTCTTGTGTTCACTTCAAACGCCTCGCTGAGTTTTCCGTTGTGGGTCACTCAACACGTGGTATTGTCATATCGCTGTTGAACGAAGTTGAGAAATATTGAGGGCAATCAATTGTGTTTAAGTAGTTTCCAGATAACTTCGTGGTCAGCGCTATCGAAGGCCTTTTCAAATTCGATGGAACTGAGATAGAGGTTTAATGTCATCATCAAGCAAGGGGGAACATGGGTGCATTTATAGCTCAGTAACAGAGCACCTGGTGAACTCAGGACACCCAGCTCCATTTAAAAAGTCCTTCAAAGTCCTGTACAATATTCCGATGAAACCTCTCAAAAGAAGTGAGATCAGGACATCTGGGCATAGCTGAAGTAATAGCGACCCAAACTTTAAAGCCTACGCTATATATTCAAATGATTTACGTCCAAACTTTAATTTTATCACAGCTGTCATAAGCAGTCAATTCTCTCAATAATGATTATCCTATTACGTGTCTTATCCAAAACTTCCTGTTTTTGTTTGTCACTTTCGCGTTTTTTAATTCCTCTTTGCAATAGTATGGTTTTTATCTGACATTGCTGTCTATTCTGCCAATATTAAGTCTTTAATCCCCAAATGCACAAAATTTAAATTTTCTCAATAATTTCTGATCCTTCTTTGCTCTAATCCGATCTTCTTGTTTATTTTTTTTTGTTATTACATTTTAATCCCTATATGTTTACTTTTTGATTTCCCCCTTGACCAGAAATACTTCCGGTACTTCCTTGCCCATTCACTATAAATACACAAATGTACAGCCTAGACGATAGGGTAATTTTCGTCTCTGTAATCGTCTTTTTTTTTCTCAGTAATTTTTTGATACTCAGAAGGATACTACTGTTAGTAGTCAGTTTAGCTATATATGTATATATATATATATATATATAAAGCTTTGAGTGCTCTCTCAATGTAGTTTCAGCTGACTATCCTTCCATTACATCCAATCATTTCCCAATCACAAAATACTTATAAATGTAAGCATTCCTGTATTCTGAATGTCTATCCTTGATGTGTTTAGCATACATCTGACAATCTCCCAAAACTTACTTTTCCATCTGTAGCATTAGCATTGTTGTGAATTGATTACCGTTTCTATAACTGACTGACTTTACTAACACCCTAATAAGATGTCAGTATAACTTTCCATGCATTGAAATACATCATTTCTCTATTATTTCTTTCTCTGTATCGCCTACTACTAGTTACTTACTATTACGCATGAATTTATGAAATTGGAGTCTGATGTCGAAGTCACTGAAAACAAATAGGGCAAAAAACGTTTCTCTTTTCCAAAGTACATAGATTTCAAGTGTTGTTACTTTAAGGGGGAAAATGTCGACAAAATGTCAAAAGATGCATTCATTTAGACCTTGTTTGACAACATTATTTTATGTAGTTCTCTGACTGCAGCACTGAGCGAATTAGATTTGAATCTTAAAAGGAATACCACTTCCTTCAAGGTACTAAATACGTTTTGCTGGCAGGTGTCAATAAGCACGAAACCTACATCCAATGTTCTTCGCCAATCAGCTCCAAATACTTGACATCAACTCTGAGCGCATAAAGATTTTGCCTCACCTGGCTTGGTGACCACAGTGTCAATTCGGTCTTCGCCCAAAACTCACTACTGCATAAAGGCTTCTGACTATTCCTTCGTGAACTGTTATTTGTTTCTAGCTCAAATGAATTTATCCCTTCGCAATATCAGAGTTGTGTTTTCTAACAGCGCATTTTCATATAAACAACACTGATGGCTTTGAAATAGAAACCAAGTCGGAAATTAAATACCTAGGCGTCATTCTATCTGCTGATCTTTTCTGGTCATCTCATATCTTGGCGATTTCTGAGAAAATATTCCGTCTTACCCTCTACATCAAGAAGTTAAAATATTCTGGTATAACCCAACCCTTACTCCTACAATTCGTTAACTCTCGCATTCTGCCTATTATTCTCTATTGTTCCCCCTTAGTTTTTCCCGGGCTACTGAAGAAAGACTTTAACATATTACGCAGGATGTAAAAGGTTGTCAGCAGGGTAAGCAACGTGCCACTTAACCAGCTTGTTAATACTCTGGTTGACAGGCACATGGATTCATGTGAAAAATGGGCCAAATCCATTCTACCTAACTCACACCACCCTCTTCACTCACTGTTCCCCCCCTGCATCTCATCAGGCAAAACCAGAAGCCTATATATTTTTTTATTATTTTTGATTACAGCTTGATGCCACACCGTATTTTCAGTACAAGTATGACATTTTCAGCATGGATATCGGTAGCCCAAATTTTGCAGTCCGACCATAGATATCGGGTGTGCGTCGGCAGGGGATCGAACCCCGGACCATGTGCATGGTCGGCGAGAGGCCTAACCACTGTGCCACCGACGCACAGAAGGCTATATGCTCGCACCAGCAAGTACAAAAGCTCAACCATACCCTAATTAGCTCGTGTTCTGTGTGATAAAGAAAGCATTAGGCGTGACACCTATAATTCATTAAATAGTCAGTAGAACAACTGGACCTCATCTTTCCAACTCATATCATTTATAGGTACAACGTTTCTTTCTTTCTTTTCCTTTTCTCTCTCTCTTTTTTTCTCTTTTTTCCGTTATGTGCTGCTTTGTTTCTTTCTTCCGCTTACGCCAGTAAATATGACAGCACCTACTTTTCTAACACCTTCAAACACTGTTTAACTTTGGCTTTGCTACCGACATGCCAATATGTTGTTGTCATAATGAACTGAGATTTCCTTAATCTATGTAGAATTCTATTTATTGATGATGTACTAACTGGATGCAATACTGTAGTAAAAATGCTGAGAATTCCATTCTGTATCACAAGTACTGTTTTGGAATAAAGCAAATTATTATTATTATTAGACAAACTTAAAATCATTTTATTACATTTCATCTTCAAAAGAGCGATAAGACTGTTTTCGATACTACAGCTGCATTCTGAGTAAAAGAATGGCAATTATCTATGAGAAAACGATTCTAGTTATTACATATGTTCAGACTATAATTAAGATCGTAAATGTGCATTATCTACGATTCAAAAAGAGTGTTCTCAAGACATACCACCTGCTGACTGGGTGAACTGTCAACTTCAGTAACATTCACGACTCTCGAAATACCACCGATTGAGGTGAAACTTCGCCACACTTGCCTTTACAAACCGTGATTATTCTCCATCACAATACGTCATTATCTTCATACAATGAATGGCAATAAAGAAAAACAAGTATACATATATGATGCTTCTTGCTGGTAACTGATTGGTGCAGATGAGAATTTGGATACCATTCATATTGACAAGTGATGCTTTCAGGCTGGCATGATATCACTGACCTAAACAAATCGACAGTCGTTTAGCTTGGCTAGGACTCAGTTCAAGGAACTAAATGGGCTTAAGTGGCTAGTCGGAATCCAGGTGTTTTCATCTGATTTGGCTCGCTGAGCTGAGCTAAAGCGAGTTCACTGCTGATAGGGTCAATTTCAAACGACTGAGGTAAATGTTCGCTATTCATATCACTTCATTATGTCTGAACAGTAAGCACTCCTGGTTAAAACAAGTGGTATTTAACTAGTCATAATAATTGATCAATATTATTATGTACCATAAGTACATTCACCATTAAATTTAGATAGATAACCTACAGACAACGATCAGCATAAATGGAAGGAACCTGAAAGAAACAACCTCCTTTACCTACCTTGGAAGCATTGTTTCAACTACAGGCGGAACTCACGAGGATATCAAAGCAAGAATCGGAAAAGCAAGACGAGCTTTCACTACTCTCAAGTCTGTGTGGAGGTCAACAGCACTACTCAGCATCAAAAATAAGATCCGGATTTTCAACTCCAATGTGAAGCCAGTCAGTGCTACTATACGGATCAGAGACTTGGCCAGCGCGTCATAAAGAGCATCTCAAACAAACTACAGACCTTCATTAACAGTTGTCTACGCTCAATAATCAAGATCAGATGGCCAGAAAAGATCAGCAACAGAGATCTCTGGCAATGAGCGAACCAACCAGGAACCGATTGTGAAAGAAATAGGCAGGAAGAAATGGAGATGGATTGGCTGGCCATACTCTGAGGAAACCATCAAGTGACATCACTAGACAAGCCATTGCTCGAGTGGAATCCAAAAGGGAAGCGACGAGTTGGCCGTCAGTGCAAGGATGACTTGGAGGAGGTCATGTGAAGAGGAGATGAAAACGTGTGGACAGACTTGGAGCCAGGTGAAGACTCTAGAAGAGAATTGAACGCAATGGAGGCGCACGGCTGAAGCCCTATGTTCATTTAGGAATTAAGGGAAACAATAATAATAATAATCTACATCTTCATAATTTCAATCTGCAATTCCTACCTTCCACTAATCTCTCTCAATTTATACTATAAAGTGAATTTGATCATTCAGGCTTAGGCTATATGGAAGGTTAAAATGGAAGATATTATTCTAAAAGCATTATATAAAAGCAAATGACATAAAATGAAAATGTTTCACCCCACCCCACCCCCCAAAAAAATGATTAGCACCTGAACACATTGCTTAGTGTTTCGCTATAGGCACAAATAAATACTTGTCAAACACCAAATTGAGTTATATTCCATAAAACCAATAAATGAAACATTTCAATGGTTTCAAGATGTGATATTAGATGAACAGACACAGTTAGTTTAAATGTCATTAGATTTTAAGCAACTGCAATAGAGTAAGTGAATCTGTATCCAACCAGTGAGTAAAGAAGACAAAAAAACAAAAGCAAATGAGAGAAAAAATATATACTGAAAAAAATTAAAAACTGGAGTAGGAGCGAAAAAAATTACTGTCAACTACAAAACACCTAAGACCAGGTAAACAATTATATATGCAGCATGTAATGGCATAAAATAAAAATCCAGAAAGAAATACTTCGGAGAAATGGGTAAACAACCACAGATGAGTTACATGAAAAAGAAGAAGGAAAAAGAAAAATCACCTCCATTTGGAAAATATATAAAGAAAGATCACCAGACAAATCACGTACAAAATCGGCTGAGAGGATTCGGAAATAGCGAAAATAAGTAAGACATCGTCAAAGGACGACGTCCGGAAGACTTAGAATTCCAGCTGCGATTATACCCTAGCGAAGACAATTCTCCACCAAAATTAAAACTAGAATTACCTCCAGAAATCCAGAAAGTTCCTCCATCTCCTGAAGAATTCACTCGTCGACGTCTCGTGTATGTTCTGTTGTGTGTTTGGTTATAGTATTCATATGATGGGAAGTCGTCTTGACCAGTCTGATTGGAGAAGACTTGCACTACCCGAATTCTTCGTCCGTCTCCTGTCGAGTTCACTCGTCGACGTCTCGTGTATGTTCTGTTGAGTGTTTGGTTATAGTATTCATATGATGGGAAGGCGTCTTGACCAGTCTGATTGGAGAAGACTTGTACTACCCGAATTCTTCGTCCGTCTCCTGTCGAGTTCACTCGTCGACGTCTCGTGTATGTTCTGTTGAGTGTTTGGTTATAGTATTCATATGATGGGAAGGCGTCTTGACCAGTCTGATTGGAGAAGACTTGCACTACCCGAATTCTTCGTCCGTCTCCTGTCGAGTTCACTCGTCGACGTCTCGTGTATGTTCTGTTGAGTGTTTGGTTATAGTATTCATATGATGGGAAGGCGTCTTGACCAGTCTGATTGGAGAAGACTTGCACTACCCGAATTCTTCGTCCGTCTCCTGTCGAGTTCACTCGTCGACGTCTCGTGTATGTTCTGTTGAGTGTTTGGTTATAGTATTCATATGATGGGAAGGCGTCTTGACCAGTCTGATTGGAGAAGACTTGTACTACCCGAATTCTTCGTCCGTCTCCTGTCGAGTTCACTCGTCGACGTCTCGTGTATGTTCTGTTGAGTGTTTGGTTATAGTATTCATATGATGGGAAGGCGTCTTGACCAGTCTGATTGGAGAAGACTTGTACTACCCGAATTCTTCGTCCGTCTCCTGTCGAGTTCACTCGTCGACGTCTCGTGTATGTTCTGTTGAGTGTTTGGTTATAGTATTCATATGATGGGAAGGCGTCTTGACCAGTCTGATTGGAGAAGACTTGTACTACCCGAATTCTTCGTCCGTCTCCTGTCGAGTTCACTCGTCGACGTCTCGTGTATGTTCTGTTGTGTGTTTGGTTATAGTATTCATATGATGGGAAGGCGTCTTGACCAGTCTGATTGGAGAAGACTTGCACTACCCGAATTCTTCGTCCGTCTCCTGTCGAGTTCACTCGTCGACGTCTCGTGTATGTTCTGTTGAGTGTTTGGTTATAGTATTCATATGATGGGAAGGCGTCTTGACCAGTCTGATTGGAGAAGACTTGTACTACCCGAATTCTTCGTCCGTCTCCTGTCGAGTTCACTCGTCGACGTCTCGTGTATGTTCTGTTGTGTGTTTGGTTATAGTATTCATATGATGGGAAGGCGTCTTGACCAGTCTGATTGGAGAAGACTTGTACTACCCGAATTCTTCGTCCGTCTCCTGTCGAGTTCACTCGTCGACGTCTCGTGTATGTTCTGTTGAGTGTTTGGTTATAGTATTCATATGATGGGAAGTCGTCTTGACCAGTCTGATTGGAGAAGACTTGTACTACCCGAATTCTTCGTCCGTCTCCTGTCGAGTTCACTCGTCGACGTCTCGTGTATGTTCTGTTGTGTGTTTGGTTATAGTATTCATATGATGGGAAGGAGTCTTGAGTTGTTGGATTATAATACGCAGTTGTTATCCTTGTTGTGCTTTCGGCTCTTATTGTCGTACTTGTGGTTTTTGTTTGACTTTTTTTTTCTTCAATACTTTGCGCTTTATTTTTCTTGTGTTCGTTTTCAGATACGTTTGTTTTGTATGGTTTACGCTCGATGTAATTCCCGCTGTAATTTTAATAAAATATACACATTTTTTTATTTATCTATTATTGTTTTTAATTTTACTCATGTTTTATTTAGATGTTTTCGCTGTTTTGCGATTTTCCTGTGGCATCCTGGTTTTGACATTTCAAGGACTTTTATAGTTTTTCAACTTCAGATGAATATGTTATTTGCAGTTCAGTCTGTGAATGCATAATCTCTAGTTCCTACTTGTTTTGAACCTTATTCATGTTTTTTATGAAAAATTGCCGTCTTCTATAGAGTTTTTTTCTTCTATCTTCCACCTCAAATTCTGAGTAATTTTTCCATCCATTATACACTAATAATTGTACAACCACTTGCCTCGGCGTCACAACGGTAGAATTTTTCCTACTACACATGTGATCCGGGTTTCGATTCTCGGCCGACGCACTTCCTTACCTCACTTGGCCAGTAAGAAGACTGGTAAAGATGAAAGGTTGGGCGTGAGGCTAGCAACCCAATCCCGTAGAAATAAACACCACTGCTACTGAAACTTCACGCCTCTAGCTTGATGTTCCACTGGGAACGTGAAAGAATAAAAAAAAAATTTTAAACTGCACATCTGCATTGAATTCACCACATTTTTTAGACAACTACTATTCATTCTACCAGTCTATGAAGTTTCCCCTGTGTAACCACAGCTTATTCAACTGAATTAGTTGTCATCTCTTGGATTTTGTACGGGTTTGTATTGAATTTTAGTATGGACTTCGTAAACGTGCTGATTCCGCATCCTGGAAATCCTCGATTCGATACCTGATGGGTAGTCACAGGTTTGCACTAACTGAGAGTCCTAAATTAAGATGAAAGTGTTGTCTAGTGCTCTTTGGTTTAAAATGAATCCAATAAAATTTCAGACTCCAGGTCATTGCTGGATACTGATAATTTGTGGTCAGTGAAGTACCCTTCAGTTCTATTAGCCATTTTTTCAATCATACATTCCAATTGTTTTTCTATTTTTTAATAACCAACATTTGTTAATACAGCTTCTAAAATCCTCACTCAAATCACTTCTACACTGAAGCATCTATTTAATTGACTCAATTACTCCTGCATATTAGCTGATTATGTCGGTTGATGAATTGAAAAGAAGGTGATGCCCAAATCATTTTGTATTTAGGCATTATTATATTCAAGTGTTGGTTTGTAGGGATTTGAATGGTTACAGGATTTTCATCATGAGCTGACATTAGTTAGAGAACCATTGGAAAACCTGGGAGTACTGGACAGCTGTTTCGTCCTAGTTTGGGACTCTTCATCAGTACGCTACACTTGAATATCAATAAGATGCTCACTAGTGACTTGCCCTATTCAGGTAGGTAGTTGCCTCGGGTTCTAGTGAGAAGTCGTGACCAGTAGGGTGCAACAGGTTGGGTGTGAGGACAAATACTCGCCGAAGACATTAGCTAGTGGTCGCGCTATGTCGTGAATTGGCAGAAGTTAGAATTCATGAACCATTGGATCGGGTCCCAGTGGCTTAATGGTATACGAGCTCGCCTTGTAAGCAGAAGGTCCTGGGTTCGAATCCCGGTTGGTGCTTAATGATGAAGAGTCCCAAACTAGGCTGGCGAAGCAGCTGTCCAGTACTCCCAGGTTTTCCAGTGGTTCTCTAACTAATGTCAGCTCATGATGAAAATCCTGTAACCATTATTATATTCATCGCAACAAAAAAACTTTTGATACAACAACAAATCTTTGTTGAACATGAAGAAAATGACTTTCGCATTTATAAGCAGGTTTATTCAAATGAATAAGGTGACTTTGATAGCCGAAATTAATGCGTATCCCCAACAGAATTCATAAGAACAGTAGAACTGCATGATGAGTACAAGTTAGTTCAAAAGAAGCTATTTTCAATATTCATTCAGTCATTATATCAGTTTATTAGCATCCCTAACTTTCTATATTCAACTTCACATTTCTTAAATAATGTAATATTTCACACTGGGAATCAATAACAGTCAATTTAGTGAAAACTTACCCAGGTCCGTAATTGCACACAATGCTTAGTTCATAAAGAGAATTCGAACATTTGGTGACACTACATCCAATATCAGTAGTCATTTCCCAGACAATCTGGAAGAGATAGTGAAAAGAGATGGGTATTACTGATATATACACCAGGAGACTTACACAAAAAGAATCTAAACACCCTAGCACTTTGGAAAATTGGAGGCTGATCTGTTAGGTGGTTATCTGAAAAACAGCAGTTTTCTCCTCAGTTTCTCATCATGTGTGGATAAAAAGACCGACCTATGATAGGCAGATATGACAGTGTGTAATGAAAACAAGCATTCTCCTGTTACCGATCAAATGAACGTTTGAGCAAAACCCTTTTCCACTCACTTGGTTATGAATTTCTTCACAGTTCTTGATGTATCTCTCTCTTCAGTGGCTTAAATTGATATAGTCTCATGAGTTGAGTCACTCTTTAAACATCATTGACTATCACAGTCTGAAATGGGTGAAACAGTCATTGCTCAGATCACTACGATTTGACTAGCAAGCAAAAGAGGGTGAAATGTCTGGTTTCTGTCCACTTTTGATTGATGGCACATGTTAATGAGAATGTCATGAAGAGATCACAGTAACCACCAACAGGGTAGAGATGTGTCAAAATTAATTAACACTGTGATCAATTCACTCCTAAGAAACCGACATTTTCATAATAAAAAAGACTGATGGTCTTATAAAGAACGTGGAGACGATTCAAAACTTTGCATACATTCTCATTTGCTTTCCTCAGTGAATAAGCTCTTATTACTACACTACTTTTTTATAACTGAATTAATGAAATATAATCAAATTCTTAGCCACTTGCACCCCACGCATCTGAACCAGATCCTCTGACAGAAATCTTCATCCAAAATAGATACTCTCCTAGACTCACTGACAATAATTTCAAGCCAAACGCTGAGAGAAAAGAAACATTACTTGCTCCGAAAGACAAACGTCACATGAACGTGGATTTCAGGCGAGAATTAACCTGCGATATCCTCAAGAGAAGAATTTAAATATCCTTGAGAAGAACACTCCTCAGAGCACCGCCTAAAGGATTGCACTCCAGTCAACTGCTGGTCTGAGGAAGCTCGAAGAATAAAGTTCAGCATTTAACCTTGTCTGTGTGCATTTGTCAGTTCACCTGTTGGCGCGGAGCCAGGTATATTGGTCGTTCTGCCTGAAATGGTTCAGGAGCAATATCCCGAATGGTTGCGGGAATTCAGTATTCGATCTATAAGTGGTGTGGCACAAGAACACCTTGTCAAAACTGGTCATTTCATCTCATCAAATGCCTGTTTCAGAATGAAGAGCAACCCACCAAAGTTAATGTACTCTCGCTTCCATCAGATTGCTGAGGCTTTAGCCACTGAAATAGAGAAGCCAGATCCATGCATACAAAACAGAGCTATTCAACCATTTTGATTTCTACTGACTGAACGGATGAAAAATCTTTTCATCTAAGTGGCTACTCCCATGGACAGTTTAAGGGACGTGAAGAGTATGACTCTGATTGGGGTCAAACAATAACACAACAATTGTGGGAACAGCCGAGCGATAATGTAAGACAAAGATGCATAACCCCTTGAGAATTCATAATTCACGATATGAAACCATAAATAGGGACAGATATCCACCACATATTGTGAATTACATCAACTAAACTCATTCATATATATTTCACTTATTCAGAGTGCACTGTAAGTGAAGATGTTCTCAAGCAACAATGCTTTCTACATTTAGAGTGTTCCACTGAGTCGAAATAATCAGTGCAATATGTGGGACAGCATTAAGTTCCCCGTCCTGTACTGTAGTGAATCTCACATGTTCACTCATATTTCGTCTGATTCATGCTAATCATTCATCAGACAGGATAATTTTTGTGACAAGCTGTATGGTCTGATTTCATGAATACTGCACCTGGGACTGAACATAAAGCGCAATGAACCGAATATAGTTAACATTAAGTGTAGGATATGTCTGTTCTTCATGATACGTCTTGAAATTCACGTCATCACTGTGACGCTAATGATTACTGAGGTTGAGGATTTGTAAGGATTCTCATTTTTTGACCTTTTTCCTGGTGTCGGTGAGCGGTGATGATACAATTTTAGGTGAATACTCTGACCACCAACATTCTAACCAGCTTGATAAGATCATTAATAAAGTGGTACTGGAATTGTGACTCTTACCTGTGCATACGAATTGCATTCACCTTCAGTACAATAACTTCTGAAGTAATCATAATGTTTATGTCCATCCAACCACTTCTTGAATCCACTAATTCACAAATGAATGAAAAATAAATTCAGTTAAAAATGAGAACCTTGTCAAATTTCACCTAACGGTGTTCAAAACGAATCACTTCTACACAACAGGAAATCCCCATAGGTTTGCATTGAAATGGCTGTTTCAGAAGGACTCATGACAAGTATTCGCTTCAGTCGGAAATTCATGAGAAATAAATGAATGTTAGTAAGTCAATACATGTGTTATAATTCATGCGAGTGTATTTAGGCAGCTGGAGTATTCACATAACTGAAATGTTAATGGACTGTAAATGGGAAGAATATGACACACCGTTCTGGAGGTATCAGTTGGATTGAGTTGTTATAAGAAATATTTATGGGCGTTTCTGCACTGAGGTATTTTCTAATGTCAGTTTGTTTCGGGCGAAGTTATTCGTGCTGAACGCACTATTTATTGCTCTACCCTATTCCTTTTAGACTGGCAAAGCCTCATAATTTGTGAGATAATGTACAGTGAATTCTTTGGAAGTATTATCGAAATTCAGACTTAACTTTGTGTACGTTTCCACTCATTACCAATATATTCACGCACCTCACAATACCTAAAATGTTCGAAGGTATTCATAGTTTCCCCGGCTTGTAGTTGTTCATTTTATCGGTTACTAAAATTGTGTTGAACTTTTTGATGTGGCTGTGTTCTCTGAGCTAGATAGTTAATTTGTGAAGCTTTCATTAAACTACTAGGAAACATCTTCAGCGCATACTTCAATTCGATGAAGTGAGCTTTCAGATTTCTCCATGATTTTATTAGTCATCTCTCCTGGTGGGTGATCTTGGATGTGATTGGTTGTTTTGTGTGTTTTCGCATCCTCTAGGCTACTCGCATTGTAACTGATTGTTTCCTTGACTTGAACTTTGATCCTTTGTGTGTGAGATTTACTTCTTATCGGTTGGTAAATTTTATCTATCTCGATGTGTCTATTGACTGATGATTCACTGGAATACCAGGCTTCTAAAAATTCTCTAAAATTCTTGGTGTTTCCTCTGTCTAATATTTGAACGTTTTCCCAGTCGAAATGATGTCCGTGGTTGTCTGTATGTAGTGATTTGAGAGAGTGGATATCGTGTCTTTTGACAGCTGGCTTATGCTCATGTTGAACTGTGCTAAACTGAAACAGTAGTCACTATGCCACTTATGAGAAACTGAATAAGCACTAATCCTTGGTGAGTTTTTCAAAATACCGCAATCTGCTTCAACGCTACAGAGTACCCGAAACCTTCATCAACCTGATTCAAAAACAATATGATGATTTCACACGTCAAGTGATTCACGATGGAAGATACAGCAAAGTCTGTGAAGTGAAAATGGGAGTAAGGGAAGACTGTCTACTATCACCGATTGTGGTTAACTGGATCATGGGGAAGACCGTACGGATGTAGAAGGTGGTTTTAAACGAGAACAATGATATTCACACGCAGAAAATATTAGTGGTCAACGTGGTCAATACATTATTGCCGATGATGTCTTACCACTGGAAATAAAGATGAGTACTGAAATCGGAATAATTGACCATGACTTAGAATCCCATACTGTTAACCACCTACTTAACCATTCCAAAATCTATGATTACTACAGCATTCCCGGATCATGATGAGTGGGCAGTCCCCTCGTCTTCTAACAGATACTTCATCTGACATAACGATAATATAAATTAATTTATGGTAGGAATTGCGATGATGTTCCATCAGAGTATACCGAGTGAATTGCAACTGGTGCATGTAGAGATATCTGAGCGAACCAACTAGGAACCGACTGTGAAACAAATAGGCAGGAAGAAATGGAGATGGATTGGCCATACTCTGAGGAAACCATCAAGTGACAGCACTAGACAAGCCATTGCTCGAGTGGAACCCGAAAGGGAAGCGGCGAGTTGGTCGTCAATGCAAGGGTGAGGGTGACTTGGAGGAGGTCATGTGAAGAGGAGATGAAAGCGTGTGGGCAGACATGGAGCCAGGTGAAGACTCTAGCAGAGAACCGAATTTAATGAATGTAGTGACAAACTTTGACTAATGTGGTTTCTCATGAAGCCCAGTTCACCCACACATGCTGTCTCAGTAGTTCAAACTTCAATTTGTACGAGTTCGACTGCTTTAACAATTTATGGTTCACCAAGAGTTATCAACGTTATTTCAAGAATTTAAGATGCCTTTTTCAACTGGGACTGAGGTGTTTTAACACTATGAAATGAATTCCACTGTTAAGATATGTCAGCTTTTGCCCAGAAAGCCCTATACCGTACATCACAAAACACACTGTGGAATCCAAGTTGACACGACTGGTAGGGTAAGGAGTTATGACACCAATAACCCATTCGTTGTGGACAGCTGGAAACACTGTTATTGAGGAGTCATTTGGTTGTTTTCATGTTTGTGTAGATATATCGACTGGTCTGAATGAAACTGTATGACGTAGCTAATATACACTGTCGGTTTCAGACGACTTGTTTAGCCTTCAATTGACAAAACAGTATTGAGGGAGATTTTATTCTCCTCATTCGTACTTATAAGTTAAAGTTTCTGGTGAGTACTGAGGTTTTTAATGGTGGTAAACACACATCGTGGCTATGTCAACACAACAATACTTGAAATTTCCATGAATTTTATTGGTTCAACTGACTTGTTGGTGTTGTTTATTTTACAGAATACTAATATTTTTCATAAATGGAATCAGGAAGCTACTAGACAATTTATGCGAAATTCGATAAGTTCAATTCGCTGAGATACAGCACGACAGCTTCAGAAATCATATTTGGGCGGACCTAATCCTTGTTTGTTGACTGGTTTTCATTTCGTCAATAAATTTTGGATTGTTCAACTTCGGAGCACTTTTTGGATGTATTAGCTGCATTGTCTTTTGAGTTAAAAACATTTACATACAGTAGCTGACTTGATCTTCAATTGATCTCACTAGGTAAGACAGTACTCACTGAGCTCTCTCTCTCGCTCGCTTTGAAATTTTATTCCAGTCTTATTTTTATGTAATGAAACGCCAGTCCACTTTGTTAACTGAACAGTTCAAGTTACCACCAAGGGGGAATATCAAAATTTTCAGAGTACAACAAAAACCAGTTGATTCAAGTATTTGCAACAGCATCATAAGGAGAATAATAATGATAAGTATAAATGATATTATTAATAAAGTGAAACAGCTTACATTTCCACACTCTCTGCACCGGCCCAATTTTGTCCAACATATGGAAATGATGGAATCTGTCTTTCCTCAGCTGAATCATGTCCAACACGACATTCATCTGACAACATTTGTGCCTTCTTCTCCAATTCTAAATTGTATTTCTGTAAAAATCAGCAATTGAAGTGTTCTAGGTATATCGAATTATGGCATACTAGGGAAAACAGACATTTTGATATGACATCATTTAGTCTTTTTCCTTCTTCTCTGAAGTCATGTTACACCAAAATGGAGATTCTTATAGTACTTCAATTAGTGTTGCATGAGATAAAAAAGATGACTTCATCATTATCGACTAGAGTAGTTTACGTTTGTTCATTATGTTTTGTATATCTGCCTCAAAGGTGAATATCCGTTATTGTTTTTGAATACATAAAAAAGGAGAGGTCAACTTTAAAGCCTACTCTTTGATGATATTAGATGATTGGAGGCAATCTGTAGGAAGCCTTGGATCTAGGTTTCGTGCTAGTTGGCACTCGTCGGCAAGGCGTGTCTGCAACGCGGGTTCGAATCTCAGAAGGGAGATGAGTTCCTTCAACCTGGTTGCAGATACGCCTTGCTGACGAGTGCCAACTAGCACGAAACCTAGGTCCAAGGCCTCCTGACGATTGCCTCCAACCATGTAACATCAACAATTCAAAGTGTACCGTAATGGCGAGCTACTTAGAATGGTGGCCACATTGCAAACCTGACTGACAGAATTCAGTCTGCACCAAACAAAGGACTAGACACATCACACTAGTTACTAGTGTCCACTCAAACTCTACTCTTTATACTATCCCAAAGAAGAATGCTGAGTTTTAATTACAATGCAGAATAGAAATGGAAAATATAGTCCACTCAACAAAACATGCCACTTAATCTAGTGTTAACAGTGTGAGAATAACAGGACACTTGATTCAACCATACTATCAGGTTGCATGAATGACAATATCATTGCCTGAAATGTACATCAGTTTATGTCTACATATGTTCATGCAAGTAGTTCAGTGTTGAGATGCTTGCTAACTATGTAACAACAGAAGACAAGGACCAGGCAACAGATCAGTTTTATTACGAAAACCAACAGGTATTTATATGTATTTTACGTACATTAATAAGGCTCTGCCCGCAGAAAGAAGGCGGTCTTCTGATTGGTTGTTTGCAAACAAACGCAGTCTTCTGCTTTCTCGTTTTCGATATTTCTCGGAAATGCGAGCCACTTGTCTGCGAATCATATTTGTCCACGTCTAGGTCAGCTGTGATCGGTTGTTGAATCAGCCTAGATTAATTTCCACCAATCAGCGTAGATCAATGTCTACCAATTGGCTAGCAGCTTGCTCTCACCACAACTACACACACGGTACAAGTTCCCTTCCCGATCAAAGCATTCTTAAACCTGCCTTAGCCTATCATAAGCCCGTCATGTAAAAAACCATCACCGCCACTGAAACTACAAAGCTAAAGTCTGAAGATTTAAGTTCCACTAGGAACTCAAAGGAATGAAAGAACAAGAACAATGTTGACAAATCGGAAGTCTTAATATTCCTATGTAAGTAAGGGTGCAGTTACAGTTAGCTTTATAGTTTATAAAATAATTACTCTCATACTTTTAAAACAGAAGTGTGAAGATAAATATCTTTATTCAAAATAAAACAAAAGTTTAAAATGAATGGTACGATCGACGTGGAAACAGATTTTACGATATTATACAATGGCGCTGGTAGACAGAGTTTGGAATTTCCAGAAGCGACAGTCACCGTCAGCAAATTTCAGTCAACTGTATTCTTGCAAACTAGTTGAAAGTCAAAATTCACCCACCTTGGTAATCCTTTTCCAACTATCTGGTCACCAAGCATACTGTCGCAACCTATTTATCACTCTTGCATACTGTTAAACCTTCTATAATTATGACTGACCATTACAGAAGTTTTATAAATGACACAGATATTCTAAGGTAGATAACTTAATTACTAAACTCCCATCGTTTCGCTTGGGCAACATCTTTAGCGCTAAATTCAAAATATGGAGAGCTACAAATTTTCACTATCACTGCAAAACCCAAGTGTGTAATTTATGGTTCTGTTTGATGTACATTGCAAAATGATAACACTCAATCGGGAATAATGAATGTCTATTTCATCACAGACGTTGCCTGTATACGTTTTTGGGAGGATTAACTGTATCATAGTAAAGAATAAATATCAAAGTCAAGAAGTCAAATGTCAAGACCATAAGACAAAGAAAAAATTAGAATAATATTAGAAGATTCATCTCACCAATGGTCCGATGGAAATGCCTATAGGTTGTAAATCAAGCTGACCATTTCGTACTGCTTGTCTGACATCATTATGAAGCTTTAAAAACTTGTTTCTTAATGTCTCGTTCATCATCCCACTGACGCATGAAACTAGCAACAAACATTTCCATGATACTAGGAGTGATGGATGAAGAAAGGAATACATTTCTTTGATAATTCACTAGAAATTTCATAAGAAAAAAGTAAAACATTCAGATGAACAGCCTTATTTATGTACTTGCAGATTACTGAATGGGAGGATTTAAAGATTAGGGTCCAAGTAGGTTATTGGTGTGTCAGTCAGACTTACCCTTACTGGAGTGAATAACACTGGGTTTAGGTGAACTAATTAATCACAGTTAATCTTCACGTATGAAGATGGACAACGTCTCAAGGAATTAAAGAAAACATATTTCCATCATTCATTTTTAATCTTCAGTGCAAAAACAACTGGTCACTTTTAATAATAATAATAACAATAATAGTAATAATAATATTAATAATAATAGTAATAATAACAATTTATATTTCGTATAAACGGGTAAGTTTACAAGAAATGCATGCCATTTTTACAGGCACGATCAGTTTTGTTATAAATTACGATAGTGAGTATCATAAATTAATACTTTTCAAAAGTTTAAATTGCTCGATTATTGTTAAATGTTAAGTTGCAAACCCTTCACTAAGGTCACCATCAAAGTTGAGTGACAACCCAAACTTCGTTCCGTTTCCTGATGGCAGTCATAGTCAATCAGTGAACAGAGTATATTTGGGTGAGTGCTATGTTACCAAGTGATTTAACTCTATTTCAGAAAGAGGAGAACGTCCTGGGAAACTACAAAAGCGCATAAAATACAATTATAGACAATACATCTGTGAATTTCTCCCGAAAGAAATCCGAAACGATAATCCAAATTATAGATTTAACCACACGTAGAGTGACGCGTAAAGTCCGAAATACAGGATATTCTGCAATACGCTACTTTATTACATAAAAATAGATATATATAATATACAAACCTCAAAATGTGAGGTGTCTGTGGCTAAATGCCGTCAAATGCACAACCACTGTGCAGTCAATAAGTAAAAACAGCAATGCTGTGTCAAGGTCGGTCCACGTGTCGGTTCAAACGGCCCGCGAATGCCAAGCAAGGGATAAACAAATATGAACAAACAACTTTCAATAGTAAAGCATACACTATAGGGTAAGGTCAGCAAATAATGTTTAAGGGGAACAACTAAGAACTATACATTAATAGAATGATAATAGAACAAGTAATTTAACTTCAGTTGTGAGCAAATGTCATTGTTATAAATTAACATATAAAAATCATACTACTTACTGATGGCAAGTAGTATAATGTTGAACAAGGGAAAGATTGAGAATGAACAGGTAGGAAAGGAATAAACATCATTCAAAGTACATTAACAAGATATATACAAGAAGGAACTGGAGACTCCTTGGAATGATATTATACATTTGCAATGTTTAATGCTAACCATATTGGTCTAAGCATGGAAAATATGACGTTTTCGGTGAAAATATAGCTTAGCTCGAACATTGGTGTTATTGTGTTTTTCATCAAAGCAACCAGACTTTGAGCAAGCAACAAATATGAACAAAGATTAAGTTGTAATTTTTATTAAAGTCCAAGGTGGTTAAGATAAAATAAAGTATAATAGTGCGTAAATAAAAAGATTATCGTGAGGTAGATAAATGATATTTTAATGAGAAGTGAATTCAAAGGTGACCTGTAAGATGTCTCATGAATTCCTGTATGACCCATGGGGTAGCATCTTAACAGGAAGTTGAACAGGCTTGTAGATGGTAGGAGGAAACGCCTCTGTACAACCCTTATTTTTCCTTTTTTTCTTAAGGATCTAGACTAATGTTTAATACTCAAGCTGTCAAAAAATGCATGTTGCTGTCCTACAGATCGGAAAGATTCCCATTTGTGACCATTACCATTGTTGTGCTGCTCTATTTGATCAAACTAGCGTACACATATATCCTAGAACTACTTCGCGTTTATTAATGTGTCTTAACGTTGTGATTACCCGACATCCACAACGTTAATCGAAAGGCACTTGAGAAAGAGTATGAACGTGTATTATCGTGTTATCAAAATTCAAAAGTTGAGCGAGTACAATCTTTAAAGTGATAAACAAATCAAAGACCAATTACATAGTGAAAGTATACTACGATGATGAATAATAAAATGGGTCACTACAATAGCCCCTCCGTAGAATGCAGGTAAATGAAGTTTAGCTGTATTCGGAATGTTATTGTAAATTACAAGGACACAAAAAATATATAAGAGTTTCTGGTATGAAAACCGAATTGAGGATTTTAAGTTTTCTGAGGTTTGCTAATATAACTGTATATTTTCGAAAATGCTAACAACTTCGAAACGAACCAAAATGTTTAGAAAGTTGTGGAAAATGTAACAATAAAACCAGAAAAATTATTAGAATAATAATGAGGTTGTTACTGTGAAGAGTTACAGAATAGATTTATATCTTAACATACAGTTAATAGCACAGTAATAAGGAAGTATGGAAATGACTTAGAAATAAATTGTCTGTACAAATCTTTGTGGCCAATGTACTCGTCTGCCTGATCTTGTGATTCTTTCTGTTTTGTTAGCCGGAATATCACCAGATTTTGAATCTTGAGAGCAGGAATCATTTTGTGGCGTAACTTTAGCTGATGTTGATGACTTGGGTGAACATTCAATCACCTCTCTTTCCATGAAAGCTGGTTTTACGCGATCCATGCTTACAATCTCGTGTTTTCCACCGCGTTCGACAGTGATGATTTTGCTTCTTCTGTTCATTACTTTAAATGGTCCGT